TCTTGTGAACACCAGCTGCTGTCGAAGAGGCCTGACCCAGACACTGTCCAGGGCTGAGACACTTCATTCGAGTCATACTTCCTGTGGACCTGGGCAAGGGGACACCCTCACCAGTGTGTGGTTCACATGTGGGAAGGGGGCGACAGCATCAGCCATGTGCAGGACACCACCCGGTAAGGGATAACTTTGTTTTAGGTGCACAAGAAACTGATGACAAGTCCATGTACAGTCCATTCACAGCCCTTAGCAACTTTTCCAGGCGCAAAGCTGTGAAGGCAGGGTCTCTATGGCCAGGGGACAGGCCCTGGGGAGCTAAGTCCAGGCCCAAACCCTGGTCCCTTAAGAGGGTCACAGATTAGGCTCTAGAGCAGCCGTGGGCAAACTACGGCCGAAATGAATAAAACTATTGAAAAAAAAGACGGTACCCTTTTATGTAATGATGTTTACTTTGAATTTATATTAGTTCACACAAACACTCCATCCATGCTTTTGTTCCGGCCCTCTGGTCCAGTTTAAAAACCTATTGTGGCCTTCGAGTCAAAAAGTTTGCCCACCCCTGGGCTAGAGCCACCTTCTCTTGGAAAGTTGCCAGATGAGAGAATTCAATCACCTAGAAGGCCAGATACAGCCCCCAGTATTACCAGGGAGGTTCTAGTCTTGGCTCTTGGCTATCAAAGGTGTGGTCAGGGAAGCTGCCACCAACTGGCCCCAGGGGGAAGTCCTCTGCTGTGCTGGCATCTCTGTCTGCCCCACCCGGCTGGGTGCATCTCAGCCCCTGCTCACCCAGCAGGCTGGCCCCTATGCACTGCATCATCTGGGTTCCCAGTAGGCTGGACTACTAGAGGAGCCCGGCCAATCAGAGGTATGAACATGAGGAGGGTGGGTGTTTCTTCTGGCTCCTGCCTGGGCCAGCACTGGCTGCCTCCCCACTCCCCTGTGCCCACCCGGGGCCGGGCATTGTCCCTGCTCCCTTGCCCCTATAACTAGTCTCTTCACCCTCATCTTTCCAAGTGGTCCATCTAAGTGGGTTTCTGTTTCCTACTGGAATCCTGATTCTCGTGCCTGATGGGCAAAGGACTGTGGCACCAAATCTCAGCCCCACCCCCTCCCTCTGCCCTCCCTCCTCACTGCCAAGGTCATTAAAGACACCTGACTTGACTATGTCCCTCCAAGGCAGGTCCTTCTGCTCCCTTCCTCCAGCCACCTCCCAGGGGGAGAACTAAATTTTGTGCTCCATTTCATCTGCCCACCACGGTGTAGACCCTGGGTTTGAATCCACATCTGGCCAGTGAGCCCAGTGCCATTGGTATTCGGACGCCACTGGAAGAGATAAACCCCCAGTTCAGCCAGACTCCACCACCCCCTGTTGCCCACTGCAGGCTCCTGTACACATGTAGGGTACCTGCCTAACCCCGAGGGCCCTGAATGCGGGGCCTCTGAATGAGGGCAAAGGTGGTAGGGAGCTTGCCATTTGGCCATTCAGGCATTTTGTAAAAACTGCTTGACATGTGGATGAAAATACTTACTTTTCCAAAAAAACCTGATGCGCTCTAATTTTAATAACAAACTTTGCTTAATATTGTGTATTTTTGACTCTATAAAACAACTCCTACTTCATGGAAGCAAGACTCCAGCCACCATGGACATGGGAAGTCCACCCAATCCTGGCTTTCACGCCCACTTGTTCCTGGAAATGTCACCCACTCTTGTGGTGGTAACATTAGCCGGCCAGTGTCTGGCAGATAGGTCCTGGCCTCCAGCTGTAACAATATCATCACGTGTGGCTAGTTCTTTAACCCACACCGACCATTCTGCATGAAATGGTGGAGACACATGTGGCCTCCTTTTCAGAGAGACACAGTTGCATGCAAACATGACTAAACACTTCCCTTCAGGTTCTAGAAAACCTTATGGGGCATTTGAGACCCAGGAGGCCAAATACAAGAGCCAGCACATATCCAAGGCCAGACCAAGCAAAGGCCTATGCAAAGTCCTCTTATCCTTCTCAAAGTCGTGGGAGTGAAGGTCTTACGTTGGTACATCTTCCAAGATTCTTTCATAAAGTCTCTTTTAGTTTCACTACAATAGTGCAAAAACTAAATCGTTCCTGGCTTGAACTATGTAGAAAAACAAAATCTTTCCAAAAGTATCAATATTTGGACTACTTTTAAAGGATTCAGCACTAGATTTCAGACTATCTGTCCCGCCTATATGCAAAAAAGATGAATTTCTGAGCATCTGTATACACCAAACATAAACATACATACACACACATGCACACTTGTATGTGCATATATACATACATACACATTATTTATTTATCATTGTGCACATGCCTGCATATCCCCCATAGGATCACAAGTATATGCGTGCATGCGCGTGTGCATGTGCGTGTGTGTGCATGTGTGTGTGTGTGTGTGTGTGTGTGTGTGAGAGAGAGAGAGAGAGAGAGAGAGAGATCAGGGCTTGAACCTAAGGTCAGTTACAGAAAACAGAACCCATACCCCTTGTTTAGATGAGAGCACAGAGGCATACCTTCAGAGTGCCTAAGAGTAGAGTGAGTGACAGCTACTTCCAGTTTACCCTAAATATTTTAATTATTTGAAGCCCATGATTAAGTCTGGAACATTAGAAAAGCTATTTGGATTACTAAGACCCAAAGCCCGCTTTCTCTTCAATAGGAAGACATACACTAGCACATAAAGCTGTATAGAATCCACAGAAAATGACCCCACTGTCCACTTCTCTTGGCTTCCCTAAGCCAGACAAATGTGGGGATGAGGTAACAGAATGTCTCTTTATGTTTGCCTAACCCCCCTTACAAAGCAGATGCACATTTCTGCCTTTCCCCCTCCTCCCCGTGACATAAAAATGTTTATATTATATTTTTAGAACTGTAACTCTAAAATACCATCCTTTTTAAATGGCAGTATTAGATTGCTGGCTTCTCCAGAAGACAGCCATCATACATTAACAAAACACACAAGATAGAAAGTCAAACACAAAAAAAGGAAAATATATAAAACACATCCTATACAGTGGCCATGTCCTATACCTTTTGACATGCAGGCAGTATGCACTGGCCCTGGGGTTTCCTTCTCAGGCCCCGGAGATGCTGACCGAGTTCCCAAATGTAATCCCAGTCTCCTCTTTCTTATTACATTGTTTGTTTATTCCCCCCAGTAATCCACCGAGCCAGTCACTGAGAGGTTAATAAAAAAAAAAACTTTATTCACAGAGGCTGAGGCTTTGGGATAACAAAATAGCCAAGGGCAGCCCTTCTGCCACATTTTAAATCATTCACAGTGAGCCTAGATCTCAGCAATGAAATCTCATCCACGTCCTAACGGCAAGGGTGCCCTGCAGCTCACTAATGTGTTCCCACCAGCCTGGGTAGAACGCCGCCAGGGAAACATGTATGAGTCAGTAGCACATAGCTTTAAGGATGAATTCTCAGACAGTCAACTCTGTGCCCACAAATTATTAAATTATCAGGCTTGTCCTATATGTCCTTTCCAACATATTAGCCAATAGGCTCTCTTAATGTAAAGTTCGTGTTCATTTTTATATAAGTCCTAGAAACTAAAGGTCATTTTGAAGACCTTTCGCAGCCCACCTCCAGAACATATGACATATTGTGCCTATCCCACATCAGATAAAATTAAAGTAACTTGGTTCAGAAGATCGGCTTTCAAAACTCCTAAGATAGCCCAAAGCGAGATACCACAGAGGCTAGGTCCATTTTCCAAAAGTCCCGAGCTGAACTGGACTGTAAAAATCTCAATTTTCTTTAAAAAAAAATCTCAATTTTCTTAACTAGATCTTTGCTGCAGACCCCTGCCTTGCAACCCATCCCTCCCACCAGACTTCCAGTCGCCTCCATGATGGGTTTATTTAGCTTCAGCTCTGGGTCTGCTTGGTAGGGGTTGGAGGGAGGAACGAGGTCACGTTGCAGACTGGGACGCAGTGGACTGGGAATGTCTACAAGAATCCTCCCAGCATGCCTTATGTTCTTTGGTTCCAGAAGAGGGGCCACCAGCAGATTCCCTTACTCCTCCCGCCCCTAACCCATCTCTCCCTTTGCCTGCTTTTCATGTGTTTGTTCACCCAGCTTTTTTGATGATGGTAGCCCTTCACTACCCAATTCTGGAAATGTAAAAGCAGTTAAACCTAGGTCTTGAAGAAGACATGAAAATAGGAAATCTTATGTTGTCTGCGACGTGTTCCCTCCTCTTCACCCACTTCCGGTCCCCCCTGAAATCTTTGCTCCCTTAAAAACAAAAGTAAAGAGATCAGTCTACTGCTATGGTTGGTAATGTGCGCTGGAGAACATGTGTGTTGACTAATGACTATGCTAAATTATATAGAGTGCGCTTCCTTAACAGTTGTTAATATAAATGTTTTCACAGGGCAATTGTTATAGTAAAAAGAGTCAAGTGTTTAGCCAAAGAATAGAACATGTTTCTTTTCCTGTCTAGAAAGAAAAAAAGAGAGAGAGAGAGAAAAAACTTCTCTATTTAAAATAAAAATGTGGTTCCTCATCTTCCAGCTGGACATTGGTTGTGAATCCTCTCACCAGGGCTTAGATCTGGCAAAGAACCTGAAAAACAGGGTCACCTTCGGTGTCCCCACAACTGGACTTCAGCGACAAACCCAGACCTGTGGGAGCCCAGGCCTGAGTCACAGCGACGATGGAGCTGGCAATGGCAAGGGGTAGCCACCACTCTTCCTCCCGCTGTCCTGCCTTTGGGGTGTCTGGCCTTCCTGTGCCCCAGACACGCAGGACCTGTGGTGGGTGGCCGATGATCACACCTTTAAACTGACCTCAGGTCAAGGAATTCTCCTCCCGCGGTGGGAGGTCTGAGATGCCCAAACTCCCTGCGGGGCAGGATCTTTTAAATTATCCGAAGGCGTCCAGGTCCGGGGAAGGTCCCCTCCAAGAAGCGCCCCCACCCCCACCCTCCCCACACACACACCTGCGCGCATAAGTTGGAGACACTTCCCAGGATCCACACCGCCGCGAGGAAAAGATGTTTGTTGTTGTTTTTTAAGACTCCTTCCCCCAGCAGCGGGAGCCACGGTGGCCCGGGAGAAGCCCAGACCGGGGCAGACCGCGGGGAAGCGGCTCCGCTGGGCGCCTCACTGGAAGTGAAGTAGGGCGTCGGGGAGCTGCAGAGGGAAGTAGGAGAGGAAAGGGATCCCGAGCTGGTAGAAGCCGCCCTGGACGTGCGGGTCCAGCATGAGCGAAGCGTTGAAAGGCGGACAGAGACTAGTGGAGGCGGCCAGCAGCGAGGTCCCCAAACAGCCGCCCGGATCCTGCTTGGCACCCCCCAGGAGCTCGGCCCCTGCCGCCGGCTTCTGGCCCTGCCGTCCCGCCAGGATGCTCTCTATGCTGAAGCTCTTGGACTTGTCGGAGCTCCTCGGAGAGCTGCGGCAGGCGGGGCGCGCAGGGGTCCCAGGGCCGGCCACC